AACCCGCCACCTTAGGTGTACGTGGCTGGCGCCTTAGCCGGTTGAGCTATAGGCGCCGAGCCGATTTGTAATATTCTGAATGCTGCATACTAAATGCTAGAGTGCATAGGAAGTGTTTTTCTCCTGAAAAAACCAGGAATTCGCCTGTGATCATGTAAGTGTGATGCTGGCAGGGATATTGTAAGTGAATTGTACTGCATTTGCAAATGATTAAAATCAAGATCAGCATTTTTCAAATTAAGTGAGAAAAATGTTTTTCCTTTCTCTCATGTTTCCTCAACTTTGCTTTTAAAAAATAAGAGTTCTGGCTTGGCGCCTGTAGTTCAGTGTTTAGGGTGCCAGCCACATGTACTGGGTTTGGTGCCCCCACCCCCGGCCAGGGCCTGCTAAACAACAATGACAACAATAACAAAAAAATAGCTGGGCATTGTTGCGGGTGCCAGTAGTCCCAGCTACTTGGTAGGCTGAGGCAAGGAAATGGCTTAAGTCCAAGAGTTTGAGGTTGCTGTGAGCTGTGACACCATGGGAAGGTAGTGAGACTCTGTCTCAAAAACAAACAAACAAACAAACAAACAAACAAAAAAAAGAGTTCTGCAGCCAAGTGGAGATTGTGACTTACAGAACCAGTTCAGCATTTGTAGGATAGATGAAGTTCCTAATTGCTCCATGGCAAGGGGGGGGGCACCCACTTGGTGCCTCCATTTTATAGGGCCTCCCCCCTGCCATAAGGTTAGCTGTATTTATAATTAGCATCGTTAAACATGTGCATACTGAAGCAAAGACTTTACACCAGGTCCTGCTGAGGATGGGATATCATCAACATGCATGAACCATGTTTTGGAGACTGACATCTCTGCACCATTTAAGGTTAAATCATGTTGGCACTTTGTGGTAAATCTTTTTTGCCACAGCTTTATAATTGGCTATAAAAGTCTGGTGGGCCGGGTACAGTGGCTCATAGCTGTCATCCCAGCACTCGGGGAGGCCAAGGGAGGAGGATCCCTTGAGACCAGGAATTTGAGACAAGCTTGAGCAACAGAAAGACCCCATCTTTACTAAAAATAGAAAAACTAGCTGGGCATGATGTTGGCATGCACCTTGTAGTCGAGAGGCTGAGTCAGCAGGATCACTTGAGCCCTGGAGTTTGGGGCTGCTGTTAGCCGTTATGATGCCATGGCACTGTAGCCAGAGTGAGGCTCTAGCTCAAAAAAAA